AGATAACTTAGAGTTCTTTGGAGAAGCACTTAACATAAGTCATGTAGCAGAGTGCCTGTCTGGTGATCAGCTGCACAGATGGGCCAGGGAATGTGTGGTTTCACTAGTACAAATCTGTTCTGCTTCTTTCACCTGGTGAAGGGAAGCGGGGTGTGCAAACAGATGGCTGAAGGCTGTTGAGGGGGGTTTGCCACAGGAGAGAAAGGATTCCTCTCTGGGTTTTCTATTTGCGCTTTGTACATTTGCCCATTATAGGCATGTCAGAAGGGTCATGAAGTAAAGCATTTTGGTTTTGAACAAATCAATGAAGACTAGTTACTATTTGATCATTTCAGCTTTCTATTAAAAGAATTAAGCACATCTCTGCTGCTTGTTCCTGTCCTTTCCCATGCGCTGTGCTGGCATTTGTGTATCCCTGAGTTAGTGGGATTATGCTAACAATTAATTCAGTGTAACTGAGGGGACAAGAACTAGATTTTAGAGTTTCCTGTTCCTGGCCCTATTACCAAAGTTACCCATGGAGAATGTTGTTACCACCTGCTTCTGTGAGTTGCTATCTTTCACCTTTGCCCCAACCTGTTTATGACCATCCTCCCTTTTCCAATCAGTGTTCCCTTTCCAGACCCTTGCAGTGTCAAGTGGGTAAAGGAGAAGCGTAGTGGGTATGATAATTGGCTTCTGTTTTTAATTTTTTATTTATTGACTTTCTTACTGGTTGTTTTCAGATCAATCAATGGTAGGGTTGATAAAGGAAAACTAACAGTCTTCCTAAAAACTTTGTCCCAGTCTTGAGTAGGTACCTTAAACTGGTGGGTCTGTTAGTGCCTAGAATTACTGTGGCTTTTCTGGAGCAGTTCTAGTGTACGAGAGGCACTAAAGAAACTAGATAAAGGTCATTGTTTTTACAGTTGCTTTTTTTAATCAGAGCCCAAACATTAACACTAACCTTAAACTGTACTAAAATAGCTTGGATGGCTTTTTTTATTCCTAGCGGCTCTCAGTAACCATGCAGCTGAGTTCTGCTCTCAGCTAATCCTCCAACCAGGAAAGGAGTTACCAACAGCATAGCATGATTGTAACTAAATTTAAAGTCTGACCCAAGTCAATGTGCAATCTGATCTCTGCTGTGCAGGGGGAAAAACCCAAGTTTCCTTTTGATAGTGCAGGTGGCTCAGTCTTACCTGATCTAGCAATGAGAATTTATTTTGTTTCTTTAAATTTAAACTTTCTCTCTCTTTTTTTTTTTTTGTTTTTTGAGAGGACATTTTTATTGCCGCATGGAGGCATAGTGAAGAAAAAATCTGGTACAGACTGAGTTAGCACTTGACAGTGCTGAAGCGCTGTTTGTATTATTAGTAATGCTTGGGATTCCCACGATTCTTCTGTTTGCAGATTAGATCATACAGCCATGACATAAAATTTGGATCTGCCTAGGCCTCATGTCACAGGATCTTGGTTTTACAAGTTTGATAACTGTTCCCCAACATTAAGAAATATTAAGAGACTCCCTAAACCATGATAAATAGGTAGTTATCATGAGTTGAGCTACAAGGTGTTTGGCGGGGCCAAGGGAGTTGTCTTACAAATACTTTTATTCACTGCTTGTTCTGTAGGAAAAAAAAAAAGAGTGGTTAAACATTTGTCTTTTTCTCTAGCAAATTTTATTATAGCTTTCTAGATTACATTTAAAATGCGTTTGACTTTATCCTGGAAAACTTGGCAACCATTTATTTTTCAGGGCCATATGCCAACAGTTCAGCTCTTAAAAAAGTATGACCTTATGCAGTTTGCTGAAGTAACAAAGGCTGTGAGGTATGATGATTATTTTATTGCGTTGTGTGTTAACTCAAAAAGTGTTAAGTAAAAGGTATTTATTTGGGATGATTGAGGAAGGCAGGGGAGGGATATTCCTACCAAGTCAGACAATTTCTTTGCCGGTTTGGGTGAGACCTTCTCATGTTTTCATTTCTTCATCCTTGTAGTGAAGGCAATCTTCTCCTACTGAATGACGCATTGACAAAGCATGAGACCTTCTTTATTCGATGTGGAATCTTTCTTATCCTTGAGAAGCTGAAAATCATCACGTACAGAAATCTCTTTAAGAAAGTGTAAGCGTAACAAAAACTACATTTTTGCAAAAGCAGATTTAATATGGTTTCACCTAGGATTGAGATGGAGATGTGTATGTTCCTTAGTTCTCTCTGAGAGCGCTGAATTCCTGTTAAAGTGAATTTATTCTAGAAAGGCCATTTTTCTAAGAACCAGAATTTTTAAGTGATTGTTTCTCAATAACAGATTTTTTTCTGTTGTTTCTTTCAGATATTTACTACTGAAAACCCATCAGTTATCTCTAGATGCCTTTCTCTTTGCCCTGAAATTCATGCAAGTAGACGATGTTGATATTGATGAAGTCCAATGCATTTTAGCTAACCTTATATACATGGTATGTACTGATCACTTGTTGTTTGATCCTTCCAGACTTCAGACAGTAAAAAATATTAGATAGAGAATAAAAAAAAAATTAGGTAGACGATAAATAAAAGTTTATTACAAAGAACATATCAGTAATTCCAGGTTTTCTTGTGTAAAAAAGTTGATTCACTTGTGCCCGAAGTGAAATGTTTGCCCTGAAGAGTTCCTCTTGTTCCTGCCTCTTCTGCAGGAATCAGTTAAAACTGAAGTTGAATTCTACATTACAGATCCAGTACTGATGTTTCTATATATGCATAAATACTGATTTTAAAATATAAAAATTGTAACTGGGACCAAAAGGGTTCTGCATTTGAAGTAGGAGACTCTTGACATTCTAACATTAGAAAAAATTAAAACCAGATTTCTTTGGTTTTGTTTCACATTTTGTGTTTTACTCTAAATGGATCTCAACTACTCATAAACAGATAAAGGCTTGAAATCAAGAGATTTCTAATAAATTGGAGGTTTTGGAGCAGCATTGCAGTGCCAGCAAGAAAATGAACCACTTCTCTGTTTCTAAAACAGATTATTTGCTGTGGTCTCCCACAGAGGGTGGGATTAGATGACTAGATTAGATGATAAGGTGATAAGATTTCTTTCAGTGTTAGAACACTACCTGTCTGAAAAGGAAGTACTATGTCATCTAGTTTATTAGGTTTGGAATAGTGATTAATTAAAATCCTCATTTTAAACTGAGCAAGAGTAAATTTAGAAACGTTCTGTAGAGCTTTGTCTCTTCAAAGAAATGTAAGCAGACCCCTAGGGGGCCCTGGCAACAGGCCCTCAGTCTGACAGCACCGTTAGGACGCAAACATGGTTATGGTTCCAACTTCCTGCTTACTCTGTGAGTTGACCCACTTAGATAAATTGGATCCTTACAGATACTAAGTACAGTAGTGCAGTGGTGATTGAGTATACACACACAGCTTTGCTTGATGTAGTCTGAAGACAGCTGAGGTTATAGGCATTGTGTTACCAGCTTCCAGTACTAACGCTGTCTTTCTCTCCTTCTGCCAGGGTCACATTAAAGGCTATATATCTCATCAGCATCAAAAGCTTGTGGTCAGTAAGCAGAACCCCTTTCCTCCGCTGTCAACAGTGTGTTGAGTATTGCGTCTTACCCACGCAGGTACTTTTCAGATACTCAGCTTGCTCAGTGGAGCTGCTCCTATTTGCCCTGAGAACACTGTAAATGACCTGGTTCATGTCCAGGACTGGAATACCAGGAACTGTTTGTGGCTCCTTTCCCAGAATGACCAAGGCTGCCAGTGTTACAAAGTGCGTTGGAATGAAATGCTAACTTTTCAGTGATAGTTTCCACAGGCTTTCTAGATCATTCAAAGTATTTCATGAGGAAATAAAGCAAAGCATTCCAAATTCCTTCCAAACTACTTACAGCTTTTATGAAGTACTTTGTGTTACTATTTCTGCAGTTATCTTTCGGAGAGGAGAAGTACCATCCTTTGTTACTTGTGTTAATCCATTCTTCAGAGTGGAAATGATGTTTTCTTTCATGGTTTCCTTTTTTTTTTACGTCTCTTCAATAATCTTGCTGGTATTAAATACTCTCTTCAAGCCTTCACTAAAAACTAGAGAAGTGCTTGACACTAAAAGCTTTACTGTGTCAGTGATACTTATGGGTTCAAGTAAATGTGTGATTTTTGTCTGTAGATGCCCACAGAAGGGTTTGGGGGTTTTTTAATACTGGTAGTACTTTGTTTCGTTTTTGTTATGATGAACAAAAGCTTATCTAAGTAACTTATCCATACTCTGTTTTATTCTGCTCCTGGGGAAGACACTGCTACTGGATCCATTATTTTAAGCGTCACTACCATGGGGGTTTTGTTTGTTTGTTTGAGGATGGTACAATGTAACTTTGTCCATAGTGATGGGATGGTAGTTTTGGGGGTTTTAAATTATTTTTAAAGGAAATAAAACACTTTTTTCCCCTCTTTGAGAGTTGGGTTTTATTTTACCCACTAACTGATGTGGACATGATTCATAAGGGAAAAGCCAGGTACCATATATGAGGGGAAGCATTTTTTTAGTGTGATGAGAGTGTCAAGCCTTACATCAACATAGGCATTTATAGGCTTGGAGTTCCCCTGGTCTTCGTAAGTTTTACTTGTATGGATGCTGAAATAAGAATATGAATTTGCTGAATCAAACCTCAGGATAACAAGAATTAAAAAGACTCATTTCCTTCTAGCAACATTTAAAATCCCAGAAAAACATCAATGCTTTTTGAGTTTTAGGATGAACAGTACTAGGAAACTTAAAGTTCATGCAGTTTTTAGTAAAATAACTAGATTTACCGCGTCATGACTTTCATAGTACTGTGTGTCAACAGAAGAAGGAAAGACAAACAGGCTTTTCTGTATGAATTGGAGTTATATACGTATCATTGTTGCAACTTCCATTGCTGCAAATTGTGATAGAGAGTCAAATGGGTGTACTGGCTGCATCCAAATGTTTCCTTGCAGTGATTGGTAAGGGTTTGGTGCTGGAGGGTTGGTTGTGTTTGTGTCTTACTTCATTTTTTGTTTAAACCATATCATATACCTCGCGGTGTTAGTGAATAGAAATGTTTCCCAGTCAGTGTCTTCTAGTGGCCAAGATCCCAAGATACCAGTCAGAAACCAAGTGCCCTTATACTCGGTAGCTGAAAAGCTTCCTCCAGCCAGTCGTTTGTCCACGGCCTCCTGGAGGTGTCCACAGAACTGCCTGTTTGTGAGGCTTATGTTGAGTATTTGTTTTACGCACTTACTTGTCACCTTGAAGTTCATCACCTTCCATTCTCCAGCCACTGACTGTACCAGCCAATTTTGGAATTAAAATGTGTTCTGCAAAGTCTCTTTCAGGGATGCATACAGGAAGCTGGTGGTTGTTGCACTCAACGTGCTCTTGGAGTTGTAGTAATGCAATGTTGTTCTCACCAGTGTCTTCATCATACCGGATGTGTATGTGTTTCTCGTTAACTTGCATTATCTTCTCAGTTCCACTGGTTCCATTATGCCCTGTGAAGCAATGACATTTCACTGCTTTTAGGAATAATTTATCAGAGACCTGAAAACTGCATGCAAACTGACAACAGCTGCCTAGTCATGCTGAGAAATACGTGCAGTAGAGAAACTAAAGGCGCTCGCTCTTGAAACAGCTGTAGTAAAGGTAGGCTAGGAATGGTATCTTGACAGCTTTTTAATGCTGTGTAGCAGCATGCATAATTTCAGAGGGAAGGACAAATACCCAACAAGAGAAGTAAATTTTGGCATGAAACAATTTTTTTCCTTGGCGGGGGGGAAGCCACCTCTAAATCCACCTGGTTTAGCTTATCCATAGGTGCTGAGTTGTGAATTGTGTTTGAGAGGTAGTTGTGTCTCCGCTTGCCTTGTAGAGGGGTGTGGGACAGCTGTAGTTCTAGCTCAAGATACTTAACTGAGATGCTTAAATGAGATGACAGCAGATTTGTTTCCTTTAACAATATTTTTGTGCAGCAGAAGTTTTAGTAAGCTTTTTTAAAATTAGCTTGTATACTAAAATGTGCTACAACAAGAGAAAACATGTTTGAGCACCTACCAGTACCAACCCTGATTTCAAAATGGCTGTGCAGAAGGGCACACTCTGCTGTAGTCAATACAAAATTACTTTTTAGCAGCACTCCTCCACAGAAGCCCTTCCCTTCTGAGTTGAGCAGCAGGACCTAAGAAAATGCAAAAAGATGATAGATAGCACTGTCCATGTGAGGTTGAGTGATAGGTTTCGTGAATTGGTAGAAATACCTGCCAAGGAAATTGCTCGTCACGTTTCTTCCTGGTTTCACTCATCAGATTATCACTGTCTTGAAGTTTCCCACATGCACATTGATCTAGCAAATGAATTAAAAAAAATCAAAACCTCATGCTGTATCATTTCAAGACAACTAATACCTGCAAATACCTTATTGCTTTTACCTTGACTTTGGGGTTTGTTTTTTGCACCAAGGAAAAGGACAATATCTCAGCTGGTGAGAGCTGGAGTAATTCGCTTGGCATCTGTAGTCTAATAGTTTAGTGATGGCGCTGAACGTTTTGGGTCATTGCGTTAGTCTTGTGGTGACCAGATTTCGTTGTGTCTGTAACTAATGAAATGAGGCTTCCCATCCCACCAGCCCACCATCGCCGCAGCTTGCTTCTTCATCTTTGTATCCTGTATCTGAATTGCACCAAGTACCTGGTAGCTGTGGCCCGATCAGGACAAGGTAATCCTGGGTTTTCCTTGTTAAAGCCGTCACTCTAGAGATGCGCATGCCGTTGTGTTCTGGTTCAGACAGCAAGTGTGCTTTTCAAGTAGATCCCTCAGTTATCTGCATTTATCACACTTTTTGTTCACCTTGTGGCATGGTCTTGGGTCACACAAACTGGATTCTGTTCAGGTGAAGCTAAACCAGAGGACGCCCTCCAGGAGTGCACTTAACATACTCCCGTAGCTAATGGGTGCTTAGTCCACAGGACCAAACTAGAGCTAGTCTGAAGTAAAGCCCACCTGAAATGTGCATTGAGTATGGACATCAAGCCTTCATCACCAAAAGCGTGGCTCTACAGCTCAACTCTTACATGGCTGCCATACTTGCTAATATAGACAAGGGCCTAAGTATATTACCGTGTTTTTAGTAGACCTAGTTTATAAGGGGATGAGATTGATTGAGGTATCTAGTATGAGATTGAAAAAATAAAGAGGGCTACTGCTTCAAACTAATTAACACAGCAGCAAATGTTGCCCTTCATTTATCAGACTATCTGGTGCCTGATCAAAACCAATTGAACCTCATTCCCAAACAGACAGGTCTTCAGTGGAGTTACTCTTTACCGAGCATAGGAGTGGAAAACCTGGCCCAGTGAATGATATTTAGGATGATGCAAGGCCTCTCTGCAAACCCATGTTTAAATGTTCAGATCAAATATTGCTTCTTTTACGACTGCTCTGTCATCTTGGGTGGTGGTCCCTAGATTCCTCCTTTTTCTGCCCAGTCTAGAAGGTCAGTAATATTCTCATCACTTGAGTCTCCAAGCAGGCTGATCCCACCTGCATATCAGATGGTGGCCTGCCCACCCCAGCTCTGAACGTGTGCCCCCTGTACTTCCATGCTCACACCTACCTAACGCGATGCACTGTTTTTTGTCCTTCCCGAGCTCATAGCCATCAGCACAGGAACAATGGTAGGAATTACTTCCCGGGTAGCAGAAGTGGTGACATCCTTCTTTTGCTTGGTGGCGACATTCATTTTTAGCTAAACAAAACAAACAGAGGAAAAGCATTGGGAACTCTTCAGCGCATTTTATGTTTACTCGCTTTATGTGGAGGTGGGTAGGGACTCTGACTTGGTAGTATTTCCCACCACATTGTTTTTTGTCTTGTTAAGCAAAGTTGGAGACAGCTGAGTCTCTGCAGCTTCCACAGAGTCGTTGCAAACTGTGCTCACCCAGCACCTCCCTGCACCAGACTGCCTGCACCTCTGAGTTTTGGGGAGCGTTAGTAGCCAAGGGTCAAACTAGGCCTTCCATGTGAACCCATGGAAGGATGCCATGGGTTTTCTTGTCTTTTAAATGAAACACTAAGTGTCTGCACTGTGGGGGACTGCTGCACATGTTAAGAAGGCAGGTATTTCTTGAGGAAGAAAAAGGCTAAAGCTTTCTGCTTTTCAGCAAAAACAAATGCAAAGCTCCTATTTCTCATGCTTATGCTAAGAAAATTGCAATTGACAGCTACCAAAGACAAGCAAAAAGAAAGGGAGTATTAATCACCTTTGAAACATGCTCAGTCAATTTTCCATAGCTAAGCAAACACTTAAGCTTCAGCGTAAAGTAACAGGAGGAGCAGCCGTTTGATGGTGGATCTAGCTCACAGATGGAGAAGTAGCAAAAACACCCACATAAAGTTGCTCTCTTAAGGCTCATGCTGAGCAAATCCAGTTCCCAGTGCTGGTCCAAGCTGTGTTACTTTCTGTGCTCCCCAAGAAGCTGGTTTGTCTCTGTCCAGTCACACCCCTTATACAGAAAATGACCCTGCCTTGCGGCAGCCGGGGCGTCTCCCACCCCAGGGGACCTCTGAGCCTGCTGAAAGACTGATGTAAGGGCTGGAAAGTAGAACCTGGCAGATGTAAAAATGTAGGGTCCGGCCCAGGGTGTTTTACGTGCCAGAAAGTGTCCGTTTTGCTTTATGCCTTTTACACTTCCGCTGAAAACCGTTTGTTTTCTGGAGTCCCTCTGTCCTGAGGGACTGTCTTGTGGGCGCGTGAGGCCTCGGAGGCACCGGGGTGGCTGGGAAGCCACCGTGGCACTACGGCCCTGGTTCTTCAGGCCACGGGCCGCCTGGGACCGCGGCAGGACAAGCAGCCGGGGAGCGTGGGTGGCAGTGGCCAGGGCTGCCTTTGGAGCCCACCTGTGAGGGGGACTTGCTTCAGCCCTTTTGCTGCATCCCCAGAGAAGGAAGGATCCAGGGGAAGAGGCAGCCTGCGTAATCTTGGGATGCCGGTAGACAGGCAGCACAAATCACCCCTGCTCTGCCAAGAACTGCGTGTTTTAACATAAAAATTGATAACTGGCTGTAATGGGAGAGTGTATGGTTTCCCGGGGTCCCCGTATGACAGGAGGAGATAGGGCTTCTCAGAAGAGAGGGCGATGCCTTACCGAAAGCACAGTTCTCTCCCTCGTAGCCCTCGGCGCAGGTGCAGGTGTAGCCGCGAATGCTGTCCTCGCTGCTCTGCCAAGAACTGCGTGTTTTAACATAAAAATTGATAACTGGCTGTAATGGGAGAGTGTATGGTTTCCCGGGGTCCCCGTATGACAGGAGGAGATAGGGCTTCTCAGAAGAGAGGGCGATGCCTTACCGAAAGCACAGTTCTCTCCCTCGTAGCCCTCGGCGCAGGTGCAGGTGTAGCCGCGAATGCTGTCCTCGCACACGCCGTTGTGCTGGCAGGGGCTCGGGCAGCCACCCCCCCCTGGGGCTCGACGAGCACCTCCTGCCGCCTGCAGAAACGCCGCAAGAGAGGGACGAGTCACCACCACCCCTGACCCGAATTACGCAGCCCTCTTCCCGGCACGCGAGCCGCTCGGAGAAGCATTGCCAAAAGCAATTTGGAAGGAAATGGGCTACATCTCACCGAACTGCTCCTCAGGAGTAATTTTAGCTCCTCAGAAGTAATTTTAGCCCAAGTCTCTGCTCCCAGAGGCGCTCCCGCAGCCCCTGGCACGGAGGCCGGGATGTGCCCAGAGGCAGAGCCCACTTTTGGAGGAGGGATGCTCTGCTTCAGGGAAAAGCACTGACTTACAGTTCATGTGCTCGTTACGAATGTAATATGCGACTGGTGTTTTAGGTCTCCCATGTTAGGTTGATGTGCATATGGATAAAAAAACAATTATGTGCATATATGGATAAAAAAAACTGGCATCAAAATTAAACATCAAACTAGGAGGAAATCTGGCTTTTACAAATCTATACAATTACTATACAGCAGCTTGGACACTCACAAGCTTTATCTTTCTGATGAACCGAACATTGAAACCAGAGGATGCCTCACTACAGGTGAAGCACCAGGCAGAGCTGCCAGTTTCCCTTTAAGCTGCCCACTGGAAACACTCCAAACCAGTTTGGAAATGTTCTCCAAATAACTGCTTATTGTAGACATAAGCGATCGGGGAGCAAGCCAGACAAGCCTAACCCAGGACATGCTCTCCAACCTTTCTGAAATGTAAAACTTCATCAGAGAGGTTAACTTCAGTCAGTGGGCTGCTGTAATTGATATCAGAGATGGAAAGGGGAAAACTCCGCCTGATACTGGGGAAAAAAAACCCAACCGCCATCTGCTCGGGCTATGGGCACATGTATCTTTTAGCTTTAGACGTACTAAAATTCTGGCTTAAAGCAGTTACCACCTTCAGCCCACCTGCAGTCAGATGCCATCAGCATACCCCAGCACAATTTAGGTCTCCTTGGAGGGTTTTTACATGGGTTAGGGGGGTCTCATCAGCACAGCTGAGAAGATGGAGTTGAGGAGTGAGGACCTCCAGCAGCAATGGTGGGTAGCTGGAGTTAGGGAAGGGCTTCACCTACAGCCTGAAGCAAGTTAGATGGTTTCAAGCCTCTGACATGCATGCTCAAATATAGGTAAGGAGGTCTCAAAAAATGTCTGGGGTCAGGTGAGGTTCTGAAAGACTGGGAAAAAAGTAAACCTAGTGCCTAGCTTTATTAAGGGAGGAAAGAGAAGATTCAAGGAATTACAGAGAAATCAGCGTGATTTCTGCTACTGGAAAGCTACTGGAATGGTTAAACTCTTTGTAAGCACCCAGCAAAATAAGAAGGTGGTGAGTAACAACCAACATGCCTTTTTCAAGATCAAATAATCCAAACCAATTAAATCTGATTGTATTATAGGATAAGGGACCTAGTGGGGAATCAGTGAACATCGTAGAATAGAAATGTCTCAGATGACATTGTCGTTAAGTGAGCTAGGAAAACACAGACTACTATAAGGCATGGCACAAAACTGTATGGAAAATGATGTTTAAAGAAAGGTTATCAGTAGCTAAGTTTATACTGTTAATAAAACAGGGTCAGGGACAAGTATGACCTCAGTCCTAGTGCCCTTACAGCACACATCCACGCTAGAGCAAGATGCCGCTACATCAGCTTTGACTTGAAGAGACCAAGGTGGAGCAGTACAAAACAGAGCAAAAGGGTGAGCCAGCAGTCAGGTGGGTGCTCAGCCTTTCTCCCCAGCCCTCTTTTATTCACAAGGCGGATTTACCCACTGTACCCTGGACTATGGAAGGAAAGCAACACAGATACAGAGGTCTATAAAATGAGATTTTTGGAAGACAGGATGAAAAAATGGGTTTGTTTAGTGAGGAAAAAAGAAGCCATGGAGATGCATGGCAACGCTCTTCAAAACGTTAGAAAAGATACCACAAAGAAGGAAACACACACTGCTATTCTGCAGGAAGAAGACAGGACATAATGGTCTTTAATCACAGCAAGGAAGCCACCCCTGAGGCCGGAGCCAGTAATGCATCCTGATTGTGGCTAAGCTTGTTTGGATGGACCGTTCTCAACCAGTTGCCTTTCTCTCTTCATAGACTAGAGAGGAAGCCTGCATGACATGCTTAGTACAAACACCCAATGACTGAAATTAAGAGAAGTTAATCCCACCCTCATAAAAGTATTGAAAGGCCAGATATTTAGCATCATTCTTCATAACATTTATATCACTGATGGGATTCTTCTATGTCACAGTTCCCTGGATTCAGTGTTTTAGTAGTGGCTTGTGCAGAAAATTAATACTAACTGCTGGTTCTGCCGCCTCGTTATTCATTTTCTAAACCTAAGATTGGAAATTTTAAAAAGCTAAGTAAAAAACAAGAGAAAATCTTAGGACGAGGCATGCAGAAAAAGAGGGAGGGAATAAGGCACTGTCACCATAAGCTGGTGCCCCAGGCTCCTTGTTCAGGAGGCATCTAGTTACATCAGCCCTTCAGCTTTTACGGATTTGTTTCTTGCCTTGACAGCTGCAAAGGGATGATGCAGTGCCAGCTTCCAGAGTTTGCAGACAGCCCAGTGGCTTTTAATACCTATTTATCTCACTCAGGTTTAAGTGCTAGGTTTGTATTTGGGAGGTTTTGCTGGTAAAGCTGTGCTGCTCTATTGCATCAGCAAAGCAGATTTTCTCAGGTCCCAGGTTGTTTCAGTACAACCTTAAGTTCAGGAAAATGAATTTACTGTGATAACATCTACTCACCTTCAACGTTTATTCACTTTGCAGTCTTAAATGTTTTTTCTTATTTATGACTTTTAATCCTTTCACATCAAGACTTCTCCTCCTGCTTTACTACAGACATGACAAATAGTGACTGGGTGTTCCTTGCAGAATAAACTGCTAAAAACACTCAGAAAACCAGCATTGGACTGAATCATAATGTTCATAGTGTGACACTGCTATGAAGGAGAGAAATCAAGAGGCCAGCTTACCATAGTAGGCATCCCAAAACATTTTCTGGAAAAAAAAAAAAAGGAAATTAGATTTTAATTCTCAAATAATATAATCTTCCATAAATATTTTGGTAAAACAAAAACATATGAGATAATATATACTATGGTTTAACATTTACACAGTTGCATGACTGCAAATTCTGCCCTGCCAGCAAAATTTGAATGAGCTGGGAGGGGGTTTGCACCCTGCTCGCTTTATTGTTTCTTAAAAAGCTATAAAGGAAAAGAAACACTTTGCAGGCAAGAGAGAAGCAGCTGAATCCTTTAGCAATACGGCTTCCTGGAAAAACTGGCCGGCCATTGTCTCTCTGGCATGCAACAGCCTGGGAAGTGACCCCGTCCCATCCCATCCCATCCAATCCCATCCCATCCCCCTTGTCCCCGGCAGGTGCTGCTGGAGGCAGAGGGGACAGCAGAAAGCGGAGCTGCAGGTCACTGACACTGGGCACCACCTTCATGTGCCCCGCTTTTCCCTGGGTACTGCAGCCGGCCCTGCCGCTGCTTTCCCCGGGGGGACACCTCTCCCCACTCCCCGTACCTCCCCCTCGTCAACATTCCCCAAAGCACCGGGGCCGCCGATGGCTGTTCCCTCTGCTTTCCCTGCAAACACAATCTCCGGCCAGATTCCCGTTACAGAGCGCAGCGTCCGGCTGTACGTGTCAGGAGGGCCTCTTGTACACGGGGACTTGCGGCCTCTTTCTATAGGTCCCACTACCTGCTGGTGTGTTGCTTCCCTCCATCCCAACATCCCTTTGCCCACCCTAAGGGATGCTGAAGCTGTATTTCTCTGTGTGTGGTCAGGATGGGACAACAGCCATATACTTTCACAACATAAGGTGAAGGACACATCATTTTCAGGAGGGGACTTTAAAAGTGTCAGAGCTGACCTCTGCATTTCCATTTTGACCACTGAGGACACCTGCTTTCTACCTGCTGAGGTGCAAAACGCAAAGATTTCACGTGGAGAGAAACCCGAACAAATGAAGCAGGCTGCGGGGCTGAATTTGATAGTAAAGGACCAAGGCAGTAATTTGTAATATGCACGCAGGTAAACAAAATACTTACGAGCATTTCATCGTTTTCAAATACTTCTCTTGCTTCTTCACGCGTACATCTCTCTTCAAGGCATTCCCTTTCCAAGCTGCCTTGGAGGACCTCCTCCAAAAGTAAGGAACTGGCACGCCTCTGTCTCTTGATAACTTTGTTTGCATCATCAGCTGATATAAACACTGAAACGTTGTATGACAAAATGCTAACATCAGTACTTAGATTCATTTCCTTACCTATTTTCACCATTTTTTTTCCATTTTTTTCAAAGATCTTGTTAAGCAGCCAATTTAAATCATGAAGAGAAATCTTTTGGCTGATTCAGGGTTTCAGCCACATTAAACTTACATACTGAAAGAGCCCTACTTTCTTAGCCCATACTCAGCTGGGGAGTCACAACCTTTTTCTTTTGGGGAGAGCCTGACTTGTTCCCAAGCAGAGGGAATTTGAAGCCCTTCCTGACACATTTCGTTCCTGCACCAGACACGCAGGGCAGTGTTGCTGTGGCACGGCCAGGGAGAGGGGAAAAGTATTATCATAAAGGCAGAGGCTATTTTGTAAGACTGCATGGGGCTTTCAGACTCATCAGTAGAAGTGAAAATCATGTGTATTAATTTATGATGATGGATCCAAACTGATGCCCTTCAGTCTTAGTTCACGGGGATTTTTTTGCTGAGAAGCAAAACTGTGACATGGCTGAGTTCTCAATCAAATCTCCCTTAAGGAGAATAAATAAAAGCTACCCCTCAGCAATGCTCAGAGTTACGAGGGCTATATCATATACCATCCTTTATGTGGAAGACACCATAATCTTTTTGGTTTGAGTAAAGAGGGGGAGAGATCAAAGACATGAGAGTTATCAGATCTTAAACCTCCTCTTTGCAATGATGCCCGCCACAAAAATTGCCTGCCAGCCGGATGGCTGGTGTGGTGCTGGAGCCTGTTGCCTTCGACATTTAGCACATTTACGTGGCTGTGTGTGTCAGCGTGCGTTTGTCAGTTCTCCTGTGCTTGGAAAGTAAACCTGTTGGGGCAGGGACTGGGGTTTTTTTGTATTTTATACAGTGATTGGAGGCCCAGCATCACTGGGCACAAAGGTTGAAATAATCAATAATATTAGAATTGGAAAAAGTGACAGCAATAACAAAATTCTTCTGAAACTGCGTACAAATAGTTATGCTTTTGAAGGATATCCAATAAGCAACAGGCTTATGTGATATTAAAAAAGACAAAAGAAAAAGCTTCATGACTGTATTTTGCATTTTAAAGTGTTATCTGACATCCCAGTGCACATTTCTGCTGTGCCGTGGTTCCGATGTAGCCAGCATAACTGGCAGTGCACTTCTGCTGCTGCCAGGGGCGTTTTGACCTTCTCAAGTGGTCACCATCTTTGTCTTCCTTGCCCAGCTCCTCCTTAATATTGACAAAGCATGGAGGATTAATACAGAAACATAAATTTCTTCAAGCTATAACAAGCATGCATCTCAGCCTCTTTCATAAGACTTATTTTTATTGCAGCAGCAACTAGAAATATAAAACAAAATTCGCTTTAATATCTGGGGCACTCTTTAAGAATGATAAGAAAAGACAAAATATCATCCTGGTGTAAATGACAGTAATATTGAAAATTACATTGCCTTAGTAACCTACTGCAGTTTTTACTTAGCTATATGAAAAAAAAACCCAGGAGAAATGTAAGGCAAATAAGGAACAGGCAGTTTTCAGTGGTGTCACTCTGTGCTACAAAGTAAACATGATACGAGGTACAAAATTACTGGTGTGTTTAGAAGAGCAGTACCACAAATCAGAATTAAAGCCGCAACAAAACAAAGGCCATACCTGTCTGCTCTGTCTGAAGGAAAAGGGCAGAGAGAAGAAACAATACTGTCCAAGAGCACCTTGCCATTGTTACCCGCTGAGCCTAATGGCCGCCCACCGGCATTCCCGCAGCTCTTGGGGGAAATGGCTACACGGGAGATGTTGAAGTTTAAAGTCCAGCTGCTCATGAGAAAACAAAACCTCTAAGGGCAAAGCCTAGCCTCAGTGTCAACACATGAAAAAACCCTCAAAAAAACTTGCTTAGTGGTGCAACAGTGCCCCTTCTCATAGGCACTGGCTGAAGGTGGAGCAGGTTTGCCAGCTCTGCTGAGAGCTGCTCCAAGATTTGGGTATTCCTCCCACCCGCCAGCCTGTGACACAAAACAGGGAGAGAGGAACAGTATGAACATTTCTTTGTACCATATCAAAGCACAATCTGGGTGATGACTACAGGGATCAATTTTATGGTGTGGCTCTTTCATGCAGTGTTCCCAGGCTTAGCTGCACTGGTCAAACCCCATCGGCTTTTGGAGCGACCGAGCATGGGATTTCCCTTGTAGGGATGTATCTGAACAGATATGGCATTTTTCTATTTCACTGTTAGGTTTGTACTGCCCAGCCATGAAGGAGAGCATGGGAAACTCTTCCTGACTTCAGGATCCCGGTCACACACAGAATCTGTGAAAGGAGGCATAAGTAGGGAGCAGACGGGAGCACCTCCCTGGCCCAGCACGAGAGGAAGGATCCAAGCCTTGGCATGCACGGGCTGAGCTCTGCCATGGCAATGGTGCTGCAGGGAGTTTTTTGGCTCCTGGCACAGGCAGGCTCCTGGGAAGAGCAGGAAACCATTTCTACAGTCAGAGCAACAACCGGTGAGAGGAAAAGTGTTTTTTTTATCTGAGTTAAAAACACAGAGACCATTCTGTGTTTTCATGTCATAAATTCCCAGCTATTATTTGAGTATGTGGTTCTTGTAACAAAGTATAATTGATCTGAGTATTCATGGGTAAATCCCCAAATAAAACTTCACTTTACATCAACTGCAGTTTTTAAAGCCAGCTTCAGTGAGTACCGAGGCAGATGAGCAGGGCTGAAGCAGACCACATGCCTCACCAAGGCCAGTGCCTGCCAACCCAGGGTTGTCCGTGTGTTGCAGCTCACATCACGGACCCTAATGCCTTCAGCAAATAATTAATCTCCGCAATAAAACTGCATTGTGGAGGTTTTTCCTGCACAATCTCTGCTGGGATGTTGTTCCAGGAGTTCACTCGGAGTTAAAACTCTTCTAATATCAAGCTTCGTTTTATTCACAGCCAGTTCATAACTTTACATATGTATTTTTCCCTCCTTGATATTTCTGCAAAACTAATTAATATAGCCTCCCATCCTCTTTGGTTAACTGTGTCGAGCTTTCTTTAGTAAATGAGCTCTCCGTGCTCTCCTCAGTCCCCCTGAGGCCACCAAGCCCCATTGTACCTGTCCCAGCCAGGGGTTTCTTGGCTGAGGAAGGGGGGGGCTGTTGCCAGTGGTCACATCTGGCGGGTGCTGGGGGCTCAGCCAGCACCTCATGTGCCCAGGAGCTGCTGAGGAGGCTCACCTCACCCTCCTCGCCTTGCACCTTCCCGTGTTAACGAATATCACCCTGTGCATACGCAGTACGGCAAGTCTGGCTCCCTTCGACATGAAAAATATGTCACCACTTGATGTCAGCACAGGACTTTGCAGAACCCAGCACAAAAATGCAGATCTGCAGATTTTTTTTTTTTCTAAACAGGCTGTTTACATTTTGCAAATCTATGTCAGTTGAGGAACTCTTATAGGTATAAGGTAATTATTCAAATTAGGTTAATAATGACAACACAGAGCTTCAGAAGCTGTATGTTTACACCATCATTTTTTCTTACTGTATTTATTTTAAACAAAGCATTCCTTGACTGAGCAGCTGTGTCCTTGGGGATGGGCCACAGTGTACTCAGTACGTTATGGCACTGACTTGGCTTTTTCTGTGTTGATATTATTGCAACAGGTCTTACTTTTTCATTTTCCTAATATTATGGAAAATTGCATAAAGAGAGAGTTTCAAAAGGTTAGTCCTTTCCTCACATGTTTCTTTAGAAAGAGTTACTGGGGTTTCTTTTTCCATTCCTTTAATTATCGCAGTGAGCACATGGAGGCGTGTTTCGTCAAGGAGTCCCGCACCCCTATTTCCTGCAGCCCTGCTTAAAGATTGCCTCCTGCTTGAAGGGTTACTCTTTCCAGCGTGAAGCCTGCTCGCGGTGTCAGAGACGAAATCTGCAGTTCCTCAGGGTGGGGTAACAGGGTTAGTTGGCCCTGCTTTAGCAACTGGTTCCCATGGAAGTCCTCACCCCCAGCAGCACAGGGAGCCAAGGAAAGCGGGTTTGCAAGATCAGCTGCCTGGGAACGGATGGGGCAGTGATGGGGACGTGCCAATACCACCCACCTAGTGCCCCTGGCTGGCTGTCAGCCCTGCTGCAGCGGGGGCAGCCGGGGGCAGCTGTCCTGAGTAACTCTGTCACTATCAGATGCTTTTGGGAAATGCACACCTCGGCTAGCGAAAGGGGACAGCAATTATTTTCCAGAAAATGTTGCCCCCGCACTAAGCAAATAACGAAAGCTGATGGCTGGGCTTGCACCCATGTTTCTCCGTTGGGGTGTCCTCCTGCCGAGTGGCAGGCAGGCACTGCGGTTAGTTTTAGGCCATGGACACTGAAGATGATTCAAGTTGAAGTGGACCGTGGTGCACCTGCCGTGTGGCAGGAGGTGCAGGCTCACAGGAGCAGCTCCAGCCTCCCCTCTCCTCCTCTTCTCTTTGCGTCAGCCCTCGGCAGGGAGCTGGGGGCCCTGGGTGAGGAAAGCCTACAGCTGCTTGCTGCCATAGGGCTAGGAGGAGGAGGAGGAGGGACAGGGACAGGAGCAGAAGGAGCAGACCCCTCCCGTGTTGGCTTGTACCACGCCCCCCCTCCCTGGTCCTGTGTGCCTGTTGCCAGATGACAGCTCTGGGAGCGCAGGGGCAGAAGACAACAGAAGGATGTGTTTTCTCTGATGTGCTTAGAGATGTGTGATTTGGTGGTTAGTGAACTGGCAATGCTTAGCTCACTGGAAGTGAGGCGATAGCAGGGGCCCCTCCAAGCTCCTCTGCTCTGAGCCATCTGTGCTGCAGATGGACCTGGCAAGTTTCTTGCTTCTGCCTCCTCTCCTGCCCCATTTTGCCTCAGGCACGGTCCTCAAAACCCTGCTGCCTTCCTCCGCGCTCTCTCCTTGCTCCGGGTTACCCAGAGCCCCAGCTGGCAGGGCGAGGAGGTAGGAGCAGGCGTGACCGACTGAATGACTGATGTGCTTGCAGCCCTGCTGCAGCTCACCCCGAGCACCACCTGTCCACCCCCATGTGGCACAGGGCAGCAGACAAAGACCTGCTGAGCCCCATGGCCCTGTCACTCCTTTTGCTAAACCCCCCACGGCTACAGCAAGCCACCTCCTTGTCCTCCATCATTTTCCTCACAGGTCACTTACCTCCCGCCTCCCGTCCAACAAACTGAAGACAAAAACTGCCCCATGCCCTGAGTATCGATGAGTCCCCAGACAACTGTTTAGGAACAACAAAATGGGAGTGCATCCCTCAGCCCTGACTAGACACCAGTTGGTCCAAAAGAGGTGACTGTGGTCATGTGTAGTCTTGGTCAAGAGCTAGCAATGAGTGACACAAGCTAATCCCATTTACATGCCAATATACACTCTGCTCGTACGAAGCACGGTTATCAGCATCCACGCTTATAAGCAGCATGGTTCTTTGTGTGTACGGAAGCTGCAAAAGTGTCAGCTGAACTTTGCCTGACCAGCAGAGAGGAAGCACATACTCTGCAAAGGGTTAATCCTCAATGCAGTTAAAATGGGTTATAATGCAGTTAAACGCCTGGACTACTGTCAGACAGTTCTGTTCACCATCTGCAGAAAAAAAATAGTTTCTCTTGCCAAATCCAAAAGGCATCTCCATTTCCAAAAGCTGGAGGAACTTGCAGTCATTTCCGAGGAGCGTCAGCACTGCCCTTCTGCTGTGGTTACAGATTGCAGGAAATCCTGGGGGAGCCAACGGGAGGAGGAATGTAACCCCGGGGAGCTCTGATTGTCTCCCGTGGATGCTGCACCCACAACAAGGACTTGAGCCTAGCCACAGGGTTGTGCAAGTCTCCTGACAGTCTGGCAGCAAAAACAAAAACCATCTTGGAACTACTCTGACATCTCTCCCATCCCTGGAAGTGTTCAAGGTCAGGCTGGATGGGGCTTCAAGCAACCTGATCTAGTGAAAGATGTCCCTGGCCGTGGCAGGTGTTCCCATGACTAGGTGATCTTTGAAGGTCCCTTCCAACCCTTCTATGATTCTGTGATCTCTGTAGATGCAAGCTCTGACATTTTCTATTTCTGTGCACACATTGTTAAAAATAGTAATTGTTGTTAATATTCCAGTTATTAAAATACATTCTTTCTTCACTTCCAACTTTGTGTTTCTTTACCTTTTTCTCCCACTTTTGCCGTAATATCCTTTTCCCTACCAAAATTGCAACCAATAAAACTGGGTGTGGAACAGCCAGAGGATGGCAGAGCACATGCACAGACAACGCCGTGTCACTTAAGCTCCTAGGTACAGTTTCAGTGATGGACTAGGGGCTTTAGTAAGGTGATTAATTTTGCGCTGAGATGAGCAATATGCCCATCCCCTGTGAAAAATGCAGAAAAATCCCTTTGGAGTCTGTGCCATTGGGATGAGGATTTTATTATTTTTTCTTCAATTTTCTCTGATAACACTTCCCCTTTATCCTAGCCTGGACTTCAGGATAAAAATGGTTAAGGATGGCTCACAGAGAAACCTAAACAGAGGATTTTCAGGCAAACTCCCAGAACACTGACACAGCCTGAAGTGGGCAATGAGGAGATAAGAAAGTGTCTGGAGTTTACCTGGAATTCAGACTTTTTAATGCTGTTTCCTGTTCCTCTCTCTTTCTGCCTGATTCTCTCCCCTGAGGTCGCGGGGCAGCAGCCCTGCAGCTGTGTCCAGATGTTGGGATTTAAGGTGTTCCCGTGACCAGCCAGTCATTTTTTTGAGGGAAGCCCTGACCTGACCTCAGCAGTGCCAGTGCAAAGCCAGCGCCCAAGAGCTTCCACCCACAGCCCAGACAGACGTAACTGGGTGGTAGAAGTGGCTCCTGACATAAACCTGACTCCCAAGCCATGGGAGACATGGACTCTGCGGACTTGTGCAACTGCTACACTGCTGGATTGCATTTGGGAGTTGATTTCTGCATTTATGACAGGGAAAAAAAAATCCATACATATTGAAAAATGATGGCAAAAAAGCTTATTCAAGTTTCAAAGTAAATCTTCCAGGATGGGTTGAGTTAAAACTCTGTGAGGACTCATATAATGTTTAGGCAGAGCACCAAAGACATGACATGTGCCTTGGTATGTGTCTCGAGTGAGAATTGCAATTCTCTGTGCAACTAAGCAGCTGGGATAAGTGTCCCTGCAGACAGAATTTGTTCTTATCTGGTACTCAACATCTGAGTAGGTTGATGACGGTGTTTCATGCCTGGCAATGCAAACTGGGAGGTGAGGAAGGAGAAACTCAGATGACTGATTCCTCTGAACACATGCTGAGCTAAATATGGTGATCGAAGCCCGTTGAAGGTTTCCATGCCTTTTATGATCGCTTATGAACAAACTAGGAATGCTGGAGGGCCAGGGCAAGTGGTAATGCAGGGCTGGAGGAGGAGAGATGGATGGCAATGAGGGAATGGGTCAGCAAGTGCAAGCCCTGTGCAAGGGCCTCCCCGTAGTCCCTGGGACACATCTGAGCATGGCCCACAGTTCCATATATCAGGTTTGGCTCTCTCAATATATAGTTTAGGGCTGAAGTATAACCAGAGGTTTCAACAGAGGTCCTATGGGAAGTCAAGCACGGGTAAATCCTTTGGAGCAGTGATGTCAGGGAGTCACATAGGCAGCCATCAGAGGCTGAATTTCTCTCTGCGGCTTGAACGCCATGACCTGCGATATGCCATCACTCCAAGATTGAGTTCATTTAGCAGTCCTGAAGTTCAGGAGATGTGGCAGAGAAAACTAGGGGAAAATCATACAAATGGAACAGACTCCAGCGCGATTTTTCTGGTTTTCGTAGGCGAACAGGATAGTGGTCATCACAGGACAAATTTAGCTGCCCTATTCCTTTCAAGGTGATCAACAAAATCCATATTAAAAATGACCCTAAAATGGTGACTTCCACATTGTGAACTGGATATTGTGAAGCCAGGGAATGAGAAAAATATTGCACACTTTATGCCACAATATCGTTTGTAACATCTCTCTTTTCCCTCTCTTCCAAAATATGTACTGACACACTTTTTAAAGTATGTCACAGAGTACTTCATTTTTCTGTGGAGACGCAAACATCTTAATAGTCAGTAAACCATTTTTATGTACTACTGAGCTGGCTGAAAAACAAGGGTTTTTTTCTCTCTGGATTGAAATAAGGCAGGCAGAGGATGTCAGGCTCAGCTGATTAGAGAGTCAGGCTTTTCTTAGTCTTGAAAGATTATTTATCCTTACAGATTTAAAAACTCTTCAGCTGTGAAGAATTTAAATAGCGCTTTATACAAATGATGACATACAACAATACTGTAATTTGTAGGGTATGCAATACCTTCATTTTATTATAGCCAAAATCACAACATGAATAATGATGGTGAAGAAAGTATCTCAGAAAGAAAGCAAGAAAATATCAGAACACCACTAGTGGTTTTGGTGATGATAAGCAAGCTTTTCCAATTCAATGAGCTTCATGTAACAACTCATTTGTTTCAGTGACATACCCAGTTATTTAGACTCGTGTGGATACATGGGTGTTTTTCACATTTTCTAGCCTTTTCTGTGTACACATATATAAATCTAGAAAATCAGGTAGCTTTTCCAGAGGCTTTTAAAATGCTGTCTTACTGTGATACTGTCTTTTCTTTGATATTATCCTAGCCTGGTTTGTTTCTGCAAAGCAGGTGCTGCCACAGAAATGTTGAGTTAGTTCCAACTTTCATTGCAATGGGAGGGGGCTTATCAGCACAGCCAAAGCCTCCAACAGACAAATTTAGGTTATCGCAGCAAGAGCAGAAGGAGTTCCTAAACCATCACATTTGAAGAAATTTCATTATTGTCCAAAACCAGCAAGTTCTCTTTGAAGTCCAAGCCCACCTTCTGAAAACCAGGCATTAACTCATAAAAGAATAGATGGCATCTCTTAAGGGAAGCACAAACTATCAGAATTCTAGCAAGCATGTTAAAAAGAGCAAAATATTACTTAGGGATCAGATCTGAGGGCTCAGACAATTAGGCTGATTAAATGTCAAACTGTCAAGAGTTTTCTGTCAAAACACTTCTTATCCAGGGCAGGAACTTCGACAAGTTGGTGTACACTCCACATTTCCCTCGCTTTCCGCACCCTTCTCCCCAATTGATGATACCAGTAACAAAATAAGTGCCATTGTATTTGGTTACATAGGGGTCTCCTCCATCTCCTTGGTAGACACCTTCTCCATCTTTATCATAACCAGCACAGAACATGTTTTCTGTGACTGGGCTACAAAGGGCGAACTTGCAAGTGTCCCTGTCCACATAAGCACTTTCATTCTTTTGACTGGCCGCGCACGTTCAAACGTGTTCCCAAAGCCACTGACAATTCCAAATGTTTGGTTCATCAGAACGTCATTAGCAAAGTCTTCTTCTGGAAGGCATGCTGGGACAACATCCTCAGAAAATGTGATAGATTCCTCTAATTTGAGAAGGGCTATGTTGCTGTCGAAAGTTTCTGTATCAAATTCAGCATGTGCAATTATTTTTTCCACTCTATGCATTACTCAGCTTGGCTCTTTCCTTTCTTTGTCCACTGTCCCTGTGTCAGATTATTAAAGTAGTTGTTAATAAGACAATACCAACAAATCTAACTGCATCTCAATAAAAGAAGGGACCAAAGTTCCTTGCACTTTGTATAGGCATTGTAACGTACAAATAAAACAGACCAGGACTGTATCCTGACACTGTAGCATTTTATACCCATTTTGGAGGGGTTTAGAGGGCTGCCAAAATGCCAAGCAAGCAGAAAATCAGAACTTTGCTATCAGAATAATGCTATCAAAGAAAGCTTTGACATAAAGTTTTGGGCTTCATTACGGTATTCTTACGATATACAACCAAAAGCCTCAACACAGAAGAGCAACATAGTCAAACAGACTTAAACAGGAAATAGATATTAATTTTCTTTTAAAACTTTAACTTTCTGCATACAGAAATTTATGAGTTTACATATATTTAGTCTTTCTCAATTTGTATGAAGTCTCTGGGAATTAAATGGACAGACAATTGGCGTTTAGGCAAACACAATTTTTGCTTTACTGTTGTAGGCTGAGTACAATTTTTATGACTCAGAACACCATTTTTCAGTGCCTCGAACTTGTGATAAACTACTTCTTCATAAATGACAGTAATAAATAATAAATTTGAGGTTTCAAGTACAGAACAGTCTCAGGCTAGTATCTACATGCTGTCAAAACAGTTATTGCTACCATCTGAATGAGGCATCTGGAATACTTCAAGGTTTGGCCAACACAGGAAATTGCATGAAGGTGTAAGGTTAGACCAATTTAACTACATCAGCTCAACCTTACTCGCCCACATACCTTTCCAGTTTATACTTGGCTTCTATCATATACAAACTATGCTAGGCCAAGCCAAGCTTAAAGAAACTGTCCATTCGGTGAAGTTGAACGTATTATTTCACTGTCAAGGGGCAACACGATGCCCCCTTCTCACTCACACAAGTGAGAAATAACAAGAGGGTAAGAAAAACTCTGGCAGAGTTCAGTGTCTTGCATATGGAGACTAGAACATGAGACAGTTTCTTATTTTTGTAGTAAAGGGCAAAATGAGAAGCACTTCCCAACAAGAACCCGTAAGTCTTTAGACTGGTTAACGCAATGAGCTCCAGAAAGTAAAATACTCATTCAGAATTGTCCTTCTGCAAAACCATTCATCATACTCATCTACTAGTAGAACAGCCTGCAAAAAGAGAGAAGAAAGATAAAGCACAAAAACATACGTACGGAGAAATCCTGAACAGCTACCTGAGATTCAAGCAGTTTTCTTAAAGTAGACATTTTCATACGTATTCTCTGTCGAAGGCATCCTTCATTCAGAGGTGGTGAGAATTACAGTGAGATGTAGCCACTTGGAAAACTTGTTGAGACAGACCTGGCTCAAAGCGGAGTTTGTGCATTCATTTATTTTACCAACAGTTTTTGGTTGTTCTTTTTTTTTAACAAAATTTAGCTAATATTGTAATAGCACTGTTCCTGCTTGGGTTTTTTGTTTCACTTTAGTCTTAGCCACAACAGGAACTCAGGCTATTCTTCCGATACCAGCCATACTGCAACCTGAGTAATGGGGTGGCTGGCAGGGAAGGGGCCCTGTGGCTCACCCAGCTCTACGTCCCCTACCTGCAACCCTACTTCTCTCCTGGCCTCCCTCTCCCAGCATTTGCTTGATGCTGAAACAGAGGCGCAACGTCATTCATGGTAGGAGACCTGTGCAGAAACACAGTACTCAGGAGAGTGGAAAGACCACCCCAAATGTCGACACCAGGGAAGTCTGCCTCAAATCAAGCTGGGTCCCCTTGGCAAGTGGGGATGAGTACGATGAAGAGTAAATGGCTGCCGGTCCTGGTGGGCAGGGTCAGGTGTTAAACATCTCAGGACAAGGGTGCCTTACCTGCCACGGGGACGCTCTGGGTAAACTGCCAGCCTCCCCGGTGACGTCCAGATGGCTGCTCGGGGCCTTGGTGCTTTCCTCATTTTCATGATGAGCATCTGGACTTGCTGTGGTTCCTGTGATTTTCTCTCAACCAGCTTCACGATTTCTCTGAAGTTTACCACACAGGAACTTGACTGTGAAAGCAAAGCCGAAACACTAATACTTGATGTCTCAATGGTACTGGCACTTTGAGGCACGTGTCGCACGCTGAGAGCAAGGCGTTCCCATCCATAACCCTGAGCAAACAGCTGTGAAGGCTCAGCTGCTGTTACCAGCCTTCACTTTAGCTCAGAGCTACCTTTCTTGCTCACTTAAGTAAATTTATAGGATGTGGAGGACCACGGTCTTTCATCTCTGTGGGGGACGGTGCCTGTGTGGTCCCTGAGGCACCAAGGCAAGTGACATGCAAGGGATAGTAACCTGCAGCAGAGCAGAAGGAAAGACAGTTGCTGGTGAAAACAGTTTTTATCACCGAAGTGCCATTCAACAGAGCTTGTCTGACAGAGCCCTCGGTATACGGGACAGTTTCATGGTCAGAAAAGTAAATCTAGCTGCCAGCGCACCTTGTGTTGTTCTTCACCACAAGAAATTATTCAAACCTGCTGGAACATGGGTTTTGCAGTCAAAAGCAGCCTTTAGAGTTACAGATAGGTATCATCTACAGTGGAGGAAAATGGTTTGCAGGGAAACAAGTTGCCTTCAGGGAACCAACTCTTCATGAAAATGAGAGAAAACTCACTTAACAGTTCAAGGAAAACTCCTTGATAGCAGCCTTTTGCAATCGAATTAGATATGCAGGTGTCCTTATCGGGGTGGCTCTCCTAGATCTTTCAAGACATTAACAAAAACTTTGCAAATGCAAAAGGATCAGAACAGTTGAAAAATAAAAACAATTTTCCACTTCTAAAACTTGCCCATTTTGAGCAAGTGGGCAATTGGGTTCAGCATTTTCAAAGTATTTAAAAGTTAAACATTTTCCATTATTGGCATCATTACTTTTGTTTACCTGCTGTTATTAAATCTTTTGTAATTGGGAAACAGAGCAAAGTATTCTATGTTAGGAATTATAAGCTCATGACATTAGGAAAAACTTCTTTACTGAAAGAGTGGTCAGGCCTTGGAACAGGCTGCCCAGGGAAGTGGTTGAGTCACCATCCCTGGAAGTATTTAAAAGACGTGTAGATGAGGCACTTAGGGACACGGTTTAGCGGGCATGGTGGTGTTGGGTTGACGGTTGGGTTCGATGATCTTACAGGTCTTTTCCAACCTTAATGATTCTATGATTCTATGATTCTATGACAGCAATTTAGTATTAAATTACAAAGGACATTATAACAAATATCATCAGACAGAAGAATAGACTAAGATTAATAATTGTTAATGTTCACTTTGAATGCAGGCAAAACTGATAGATTTAAATTCAATGTCAGTAGTTATTCATGTCTTTAGGTTACTATGTTAACTGCAGAAAACCTGCCTTTAGAAGAAAATAGAAAGGCAGGTTGTATTCTTTTTAAATGGAACAGGTGATATTTGAGGGGAAACAAGGGAGATATAACTACAATCACATTATGTCATTACCGCTGAAAGTATAATGAGTCCTTGTGAACTGTATATTGTAAAGGGAGAAGTTTCTTGGGTTCCTATTCGTTTGGATCTGTAGGTGTCTAGCACAAGCTGGAGGCCTTGAAAACAGACACCAATTCTCACCAATGATAAACTGTTCCTTTCTAACAAAATCTCCTAAAGCATGAGAGACCTGTTTCAGCCTGTGAGAGAAGAGAAATCAGAGCCCTGTTGTAATCACCAGTTTCTCATATGGCTTCGTACCTGGGAAACGTACTTTGAAAACCACATCTTCGGCTGGGATGTGGGGTTTGCAGCCCACTCTGAGAACACACCTGCACAGAACAGTTCCGTGCACTATTTTTGCCACCGCACATCACTTACAGTTGCACAATTTGATGTTACTTAAATTATGACCTTTAGCTAAGATCTTATTAACTTTGTCGGCAACACCTCAAGCAAGCCATGTGAAAGACGTGAAAGTTAACATTATTCCTTATGCTACAACGGCACTGCAACACACCAGCATTTCCCAAACACGGTGAAGATGTGATGTGTGTCCCATAAAATGAACTTTAAATGTAGCTTCGTAGCTACAGTAATGCCGGTTTTGTTGTCATTGCCCAGGGCATAGCCAACAGCACAGGAACATACGACTCCTTCATCTTCAGTTTTGCAGAACTGCTCACAGTTCCCGTTGTTGCATGCATTTGGTATGACTGCAAAGGAGACAAATATATAGACAGGTTACAAATTCATGGTGATTTCATAAAAGCAGAAGCAGCTCAAAGTCTTGCTTGCAGACATTAGTCAAACACCCCACCATTTTGGGAAATTCTGTGCAATTCCTGCCAAAGGCCTTAGTAATAACAACAGTCGTGACTATCATTATTTAAAAAATGGTAAGCTAAGCTGTCAACATTAGGTGGACCACTATTATTTTACATCTTATGCTGTGTTTCCCAGCTATAACTGGCAGCTCAGTGAAGGACAAAGGAAGGGATAATCCATATTTGCCAGAACAGCCATTGTACTAAGGCAAAGACGAACATGAGTGTGGGTAAGAGGCTAAAATTAGCAACAACTAAATTGTCAGTAATAAATTAAGTATTGGACTCTTGGTAGACCCTTGAAATATTCCTCTTCCATCTATATATGGCTCATACTACTCACTTTAGCTCAGTCGCTGGCATTGCAAGAATGGCAGAATGGCAAGAGCTCTTCCCAGCACTAACAGTGTGAGAGCAAGGAGAGGTAAACCAGTCCTAACAGATGCTGTCTAACCTGTTCCTATAGATTCACAATGAGATTCCACAGCTCACCCACGCAGGCTAATCCGCTCCTTAACTAGTCTTATAACGTCTAAAAAGTGTTTGCTAATATCTAACCTGAGTGTCCTTCAGTGTGGTGTGATCCCATTACTTCTTGTCCCACCTGTTCATCCTAGTGAAAATGGAGACTTCTTGCTTTTATTACATACTTT